CTTGATCTATTTTGAGTTAATATTTGTATAATTTTACTATAGTATAATATAGGGGTCAACCTTATTTTCATGTTTAATGGATTAATTTAATGTACATGTGTTTGCACCACATGCATGCAGTCTGCACAGAGGCCAAAAGGGGGCATTGGATCCCCTGGAATGGGAAATCTAGATGGTTGGTGAGTCATCATTTGGTTGTTGGGAATCCAACCCTGAACTTCTAGAAGAGCTGCTAGTACTCTTAACTACTGAGCCATCCCTCTAAGCCCTGTTTTTGTTTAAGACAGGATCTCACTGTGCAGCCCTGGCTATCCTAGAACTCGCTATATAGACCAGGCTGCCTTGGAAAATTCAGAGATCTGTCAGCCACTGCCTCCCTAGTGCTGTGATTAAAAGTATGCACCACCATGCCCGACTACACCTTACTTCTTGAGATATCGTCTCTTCCTGAACTTGGTGTTCATCAGTTGACTGGACTGGCCAGCCAGCAAGCTTCAGGGATAGCCTTATCCCCCGTGTACATGTTTGCATGGACTAATGTTAATCAGTTGTGCAGCTATGCTTGGCTTTATGTGGGTCTTGAAGATCTGAAATAGGACTGTCTTTATGCTTCCAAGGCCAGACACTTTACTCCCAGTGCAAAATCCCCAGCCCCTGTTTTTTTTTTTTTTAATTTTTCTTTTAGATTGGGTCTCAAATAGTTCAGGTTGCCTTCCAACTCAGCTTTGACTAAGGATGACTTCAAACATCTGATCTCCCTGCTTCCACATCCTACATGCTGGGATTACAGTCATGAGCCACCATACTTGGCTCTTATTTTTGTTCTTTTAATGTAACTATCCAGTTGTCCTACCTTTTGTTGAGCAGTACTTTCTTCCACTGACTCGTATTGGCACCTTTGCTGAAAATCACTTGGCCATAGGTATGAGTGCGTGGGAGTGGGGATGTGGTTGGGTACATTTCATTTTGTCCTTTGGGCTTTGTACCTGTCTTCATGCCAATACCAAATTGTCTTGATTATTACAACTGTGTAATAAAATTAGAAATCAGAAAATATGAGTCTTCCAATTATTTTCATTTCAATGTTCTTTTTGTATATTGAAGCATCTTGTGCTGCCATATTGATTTTAAGATCAGCTGGAGGTGGGGAAGCCATTGGAATTTTGATAGCAGTTGCATAGAATCTCAGATTTATCCCCAAGTATTTCATCTATTTATTCATTCATTGTCATGCTTTTGTAACTAAAATTGATCTCTTAATTTCCATTTAAAACTGTTTGTTGGTAGTATATAGCAATACTCCTGTTTATTTTTAATTGTGATGAAAGTTGTATAACAGAATTTAGCATTTTAAGTTGAGTGTTACAGTTCAGTGACATTAGCTGCATTCTCAGTGATGTGAAAACAGCTCTAATGTCGTTTTCAATCTTCTTTCATTAGCCTAAATAGAAGCTTGGAACTAATTCAGCACTATCTCCTATATTTTACTTACTGCACCCTAATACTTAGTAACTTCAAGCTACTTTAACTTTCCTGTGACTTTTGTCTAGTATAGATTTTTATAGTTCTGAAATGGTGCAGTATTTATCATTTTTTATAAAATCTGGCTTCTTCCATTAAATATTCTTGAGGCTCATTCATGTTGTACATATGAGAACTTCATTCTTGTAGTGTTCCATTGTATTGTCATATATGTGTACATATTGTGTATGTATTCTATATATGACACATATATAGTGTACCTATCATGTATGCCTCACATTTTTCCAATCCATTAATATGCTATGGACACTTAAATTGTTTCCATTATTGGCTATTATGAACACTACTTCACAAACAAGGATCCAAGTACTTGTTCTCAGTCCTTTGGGATGTATACCTAGTAGCAGAATTCCTTGGTCATATGGTAACTACATATGACTTTGATGCTTGCATTTTTGTGTTTGATCTTATTTTCTACAACTTTGCTAACTTTATTAGGCCTAATAGATTTTTTGTTTTGTTTTTGTCGATTCTTTAGGATTTCATCTGTGAAGATGAATAGTTTTTCCTTATTCATTTCCAAGTTGGATGTCTTTATTTCTTTGTCTAGCCTAATTGATCTAGCTAGAACTTCAAGTATAAAGTTGTGAAAGTGACCAAAACAGGTGGTCTTGTCTTGTTCCTGGTGTTTAAAGAAAGGTTTTTAGTTCCCCTTAGCCATCCAGTGCATGGTGTTAGCTACAGTGTTCAAAAATAATCTTGAGCAAACATGGTGGTGAATGCTGTCTATTCACTCAAGGCCCAGCTACTCTGGAGGCCAAGGTGAAAGAATCCTTTGAGTTTCAGACCAGCCTTGGCAACATAGCAAGATCGTTCTCAAAACACAAAACAACAAAAAAGCAAAAAAAAAAAAAAACCCCAGAACCTTTTATCAGCAGACGCAAGAAGTTGCTTTCTGCATTCTGTTTCTCTTCTCTTTGTGAGCTGGAGTGGGACGTAGGGGAGGTGAAAGCACAGCTTTCTTACCACAACAGCAAACTTTTCCTATTGTCGTGAGTGTTTGAGTAGTTGTAGAGGGTTAGGAAAGGTGACTTCTCCCCCTCCTTTCTTTCTTAACATTCCTATTTCTTTTCAAGGTATAGTGCCTTACTGTCTATCCCCAGCTGGCCTCAGACTTTTCCTCTTGAGTGCTGGCATTAAAGGCATACTTTCTGAGTTCTTAATGCATTGATCACAGTTTGTTTTTGTTTGAGATAGTGTCTCACTATGCAACTTTAGTTGGCCTTAAACTAGTGGTCCTTCTTAGTGCTGGGATTACAGGCTTGTACTATAATGCCCAGTTTATTCATAGTTATTTTTAAATTCCTTATGTAATAATTCTCAAGCCTCAAGGCTTGTCTTCATCTGGTTCTGATACTTCTTTATCTATTCAGATAGGTTTTCTCAGCCCTTTGCATGCCTTGTGTTCTCTGTGTGTTCACTGGGTATTGTATATTGGGTGATACAAACTGAAATAAATAGGCCTCTAGTAAAGAGTTTATTTTCCTCAGCCAGGAACTGAGCCATTAAATTTTTTCCATCATTCATTCCTTTGTTTGTTTGTCCATCCATCCATCCATCCATCCATCCATCCATCCATCCATTCATTCAGTTTATATGTGTGCATTCATGCAAGTGTGTGGCTGCACACATGGAGATCATAGGCTAGTTTGCAGGGATTGAACTTTCATTCAAACATGTGAGTTTTGGGAACGGACCTCAGGTTCTTAGGGTTGGCAGCATGGAACTCGGGTTCTTAGGGTTGGCAGCATGGAATCGGGTCCTTAGGGTTGGCAGCAAGCACCTATACCTGCTGAGTGTGTCACTTGACTAGCCCCATTTCTAATGGTAGAAGTTTAGTTGCTACTCCCTTCAGTTGTCTCTAGAGCAGTGGTTCTCAACCTCCTAGCTATGACCCTTTAATACAGTTCCTCATGAATGGTGACCCCCCCCCCCAGCCACAAAGTGATTTTCATTGCTACTTCATAACTGTAATTTTACTAGTGATAGGAATTGTAATATAAATATCTGATATGCAGAATAGGGGAGATGCGAACCCACAGGTTGAGAACCACTGCTCTAGTCCTTTTGTTTGTTTTTTCTACCCTTTGGCTCTTTCTTTTTCCTAAGAACTTTAAATAGAGACTCTCTTGCTTGCAGCACATTTTAGTGATGATCCATTGTTCTGTACTGGATCCCTGTTGAAATGTTGGGAAAGAAGAAGATGGAGAAAGTGCTTTGTAATGTAGGGTTTCAGTTGGGTCCAAGTCCTTGGCTGTATCCTTTACAAATATGGCTAGGAAAGAAAAACATATAGGCATCCTCCTGAATATTAACCTTCATCAGGCGATGAAAGGAGACAGAGACAGAGACCCACATTGGAGCACCAGACAGAAATCTCAAGGTCCAAATCAGGAGCAGAAGGAGACGGAGCACAAGCAAGGAACTCAGGACCACGAGGGGTGCACCCACACACTGAGACAATGGGGATATTCTATCGGGAACTCACCAAGGCCAGCTGGCTTGGATCTGAAAAAGCATGGGATAAAACCGGACTCACTGAACATAGCGGACAATGAGGACTACTGAGAACTCAAGAACAATGGCAATGGGTTTTTGATCCTACTGCACGTACTGGCTTTGTGGGAGCCTAGGCAGTTTGGATGCTCACCTTACTAGACCTGGATGGAAGTGGGGGTTCCTTGGACTCCCTACAGGGCAGGAAAACCTGATTGCTCTTTGGGCTGATGAGGGAGGGGGACTTGATTGGGTGAGGGGGAGGGAAATGGGAGGCGGTGGCGGGGAAGAGACAGAAATCTTTAATAAATAAATAAATTAAAAAAATATAAAAAAACAAAAACAAAAAAAAAAACAAATATGGCTAGGGCTGCTGCTCCTTTTTTCCCTTATGTTAGGTGAAATAGAAAGAACACTTGGACTAGAGCTAGTTAATTCCCCCTTCTTCCAGGATATATGTTTCTGATACTGTGTTCAGAGTGTTAGCCTTGGTTACTGAAGAACATTCTGAACTTGTTTGAACTGGGCTAAATGGTACAGACTTGTAATCCTAGCTGTTTGAGAGGCTGAGGCAGGAGATTCCGAGTACGTGTGTACAAGCTGGCCTAGGCAACGAGAGTGAATTTATTTGAAAACTGTTCCCTTTTTCCAGTGTACATTTCAAAAATGCTTACATTCTCCTTCCCCAAAGAAGAGGGTTTTTGTTTTATTTGTTTTGTTTTTTGAGACAGGGTCTCTGTGTAGCTTTGGCTGTCCTGGAACTCCTAAGGTGGCCTCAAACTGCTTCTGTCTCTCAAGGGCTGGCATGAAAAGCAGGTGCCATCATGCCTAGCAAGGAAGAGATTCTTATTGGCTCTTACTTTTGGGGCTGTCTCCGAATGGTTACATTTCCTCTCCTTCAGAGGGGAGGAGATTTCAGAGTTAGAACCTGGTGAGATTCCTGGAGGCAGAGCTGTGGAGTAGGAGGGTCTCTTCTTCCGAGAGCTCTCACTCCAAACGCTTGCCGCCCTGGACGTTTGTCAGATTTATTTTCTTTACTAATATTTTACCCTAGTGCCTTCACTTCAGGTAAGTATCTTGGGTAAGATTGTGTGTATCTGCCCATCTGGAGAGAGGGGCTGTCTTGCCCTGTGTCCTCAGTTCTTTGGTGGGTTGGAGAAAACTTGGCAATTTTAAATCCGTTAGGGCTTTCTTGCTGTAATGACAGGAATGATGATATAGCTAAGCCCTGCGTGTGTTGAGCTGAAACTGGAAGTCCTACGTTTTATATTTTAAAATTAGAAAGATCTTGTCCAGTTTAAAAATAATGTTCTGCAAGAGGGTTTTAAACTTTCCTGTGAAGCATTTGCTTAGCTAAGATGACTCATTTTCAGTTATTTTCATCCTTTTGAATCTTAGATCTCTATTTTCATATGTTCAGTAAGAACTTTTTCGGAACAGAATATCTGAAAAGCTTAAGAACTTCATATAGTTCTTGAAAATTGCTAAGAACTGTACCCTGAATTAGTTAACAATATTATGACTCCTGTTTGCCCCCAGCATTGTTTTTTGACTTGTCAGCTACGTTTTATAGACTAGACTAAAGTAGTTCTGGGGATTTTTCTTTACCATTTCACCCTATGTGTTTTGCAAAAGGAGCTCAATTTCGAAGGCACCTTCAAATCTCTAGCGACTAAGCCCTGTTTAAATGTGACAAATGATTGAGAAGAAATAGGGAAGTCTTATACTGCCAATGACTTGTTTTCAATTAGCCTTGAGGAATGAACTAATTATAAACTCTAGATCTTGGTGACTTTAGCTTAATAGGACTACTTTTGTAATCTGTGCAACAGAGGAAAGTTCATCTAAAATGTGTTATTTATCCAGCTGAGAAAGTACTTTGTGTACTTTGAAGCCTTAAATTTGATAACTCGCTAACAATTTTAATTTGGGGAAGCTTCAGTTCTTATTCTTGGATAACAGTTGCAACCAATCTCAGGTGATTGGCACGCTGTAAATTTCGTTAACCCTTCTTTTTTTCTAGGGTTCATTTTAATTTTTTCTCACAGTACTGAAAGTACTCTGCAGAATGGCCATTAAAACAAGAAACAAATTAGTTGTATGGCTTAGCTTCTAAAATTGATTATTAATTGGCCAAGTCTTACTGTGCTTGTGTTAAGAATCTTTTTCTGTTTTATTATACTCATTTGCTTACAATGACTGTGTTTGGGAAAAATGCTTTTTCACAGGAGTTGGATTAAAATTTTAAGTATGATTTTAATTCAGCAAATGAAAAATTACTTTGTAAATGATTTGCTGCATTGAAAGTATTTAATTAAGAATGATAGTTGTTTGTTAGTTTTATAGAAATTATCTGTGGCCCATCCATGGTAAGATCATCTACTATTCTCTGAATTGGAAGCAGAAAGCATCTCACTCTGCTTTTGCTTTGAGGACTTTTTCATGAAGGAACAGGGCCTTTAGGGAAGAAATGGATGAAGACTACCAAGTCTTCAGAACTGCTTGGCTCATATTTTGTCATGCCCGCTTCCACCCACATTCAGTAGACTAGGGGATGGCATCATTGTTCCTTCTGAAAGGTTTTCACCTTGAGTTCGTCATATAGCATACTCATGTCCTCCTAAATGCTAATCCATCTCGCCAGGCCCCCATCATTCTTGATAGCCTCTTGATATTTTGTTTCCACCAAAACTCACTTGCTGTCTATTAGAGCAGAGCTCCCATCCTTTTCCTAATCTCTATGTCCCTTGCTCTAATCTTGCCCTGCCTGCCCTGCCTGTCCTCCCACTCATCCTGCAAGCCTGGGACCAACCGTTTGTACTTTCTCCCATGGCCTTAGCCTTGTCCTAGTTTCACAGTGTGATCTTTGTTCCAGCATCCAGGCTTTTCTGCTGCTAGGTGGTGTCTGATGTAACTCTTCTGTGACTCTCGCTCATCCTTTACACTGCCCACTTGCTCAACAGCTACCTCAACTTCTGCCTTTTAATTCTTTGAATATAGCAAGTTCTTTCCTTTTTGAATCTCTGTTGTTTCTTTCACATCTGGCAATAATTTTCTTACTTCTTGTCCCACTATCTCTAATCAGTCTGGCTGGAGCTTTCCTACCTCATTTTTTTGGTCAGTGTGTCCTGGTTATTTTCTTCTCGGCATCTATTTAAATTTGCAACTGATGTGTATTCATTTGCTCACTGAGACTTCCTTTGATTATAAGCTATCACACACACACACACACACACACACACACACCTGTTTCTGAAATTAAGGTGTAAGCCGTATCTTGCACTGGATTTCTTCATTCTTTATCTTATAAGTTATATTATGTATTTAATAAAATGTTATACTTTTTGAGGCAAGTTCTTACTCTGTAGCTCAGGGTAACTCAGTGGGTATCTCAGGGTGATCTGGAATTCACTAGGTAGCAAAGGTAGACCTAGAAACTCTGAGTGATCCTTCCACTTCAGTATTCTGAGGGCTGGAGATTACTGGCATGTACCAGCAAAACTCCATATTTGAAATTAGCGAGTTTGCCCAGTTGATTGTACATGCCACAAGTATATTCTGATTTACTCACCAGTAAGAGCCCGTGCCTGTTAGAGTACATTTCACCTAGTAGACACTGAATAAACAATGGCTGAATGGATATCATTGTCTCTCTTTGGGAAATGTTGGCCCAACTTCTGAAACTTCACCAATCAGTGTATGCGTATGAATTGTTAGTATGTTAAAGAGTTGACTCATTATTTTTGGAGATTGTTTTATACTGAAATGAAGGAGACCTTTACATTTATCTGTTTCCCATTTATGTAACTTGGTTCATTATAGATACACATATGTTCTGGTGCAGGAACACTTGCCACTTATAAAAATGAATTCACATAAGCTTTTGCCTGTTGTCAGCAATTTTCTTTTATTAGGAGATGGCGTGAGGAAGGGGCCAAACAGCAGTAGGCTTTTAAACTTGAGGCAGGTGTAACTCTTGCACTTACGTTTTCATTTACTTCGTCCTCCAAGGCGTGCAGTCGCTTGCTGTGCCTCCTTCTCTTTTAAATGCATCAACGGCGAGAAGGCAACATGGGCAACTGGAGTGCCTTAGCCAAGCTTCTAAAAAGGGTTCAGCCCTACTCCACGATTGAAGGAAAGGTATGGCTCAGGGTCCTTTTCATCTTCCGCATCCTGCTCCTGGGGACCGCCATTGAGTCAGCCTGGAGTGATGAGCAGCTGAAGTTCCGTTGCAACACTCAGCAGCCTGGCTGTGAAAACATCTGCTACGACCAAGCTTTCCCCATCTCTCACATGCGCCTCTGGGTCCTCCAGATCATCTTCGTGTCTGTGCCCACAGTCTTATACCTGGCACACGTGTTCTATGAGACCCGGCAGAACCAGAACCTGAAGAAGCTAGAGAAGGAGCTTGGAGTTGTTCGTGTTAATGGTGCCTACGTGGAAGCGCACTTAGAGCAAACTGAAGAGAAGAAGTTCGAGAGTGGCAGAGAAGAACAAGCTAAGGTGGAAAGGAAAGGCCGGTTGCTGCTAACCTACATGCTCAGTATCGTCTTCAAGTCTGTCTTTGAGGTGGCCTTCATGCTGATCCAGTGGTACATTTATGGATTTACCCTGAGGGCAGTTTACATTTGTGAGCAAGCTCCTTGCCCACATCAGGTGGACTGCTTCGTCTCTCGCCCCACAGAAAAAACCATCTTCATCCTCTTCATGCTGGTGGTGTCCCTGGTGTCTTTGGCCTTGAATATCCTTGAGCTGTCCTATGTCCTATATAAGGTCATTAAGAATTATGTGAGAAAGGAGAATGAGGTTTACTATAGTATAGCTGATCTCCAGAGCCTTTCCCATGCCCCCTCACCAAATGTTCTCACTACCGCGTTTTCTGAGGATCAGGCGGTTCCTGCGGAACATTATCGGTTTCGGAGTGTAACAGAGTCAGGTGGGGGGAGGCAGGCAGACAGTGTCTTTTCTGGCCCGCACTCAGCCTTTTCTTCACCCTGATGATAAGCAGGATTCTCAGTAGGTCTAAGTGGAGAGAAAAGCAAATCAAAGCTACCGAACACGAGTAGCAGCTCTCCACCAATAGTAGTGGTCATGACACCAGCAGCCTGATAGCTTAGATACTGTGATTTCTTCTTGAAAGCATTGTGATTTTGCCTGGTTGCTAAAGAGAATCAAAGTGCGGTAGAAAGTGTACCCATGTTTCAGTACAGATAATGTTCATTGGCCTCAGTGGTAACCAAGACATGTGTCAGTATTTAAAGTTCTTGACTCTGGAGGCTTATTCATCTAGCTCATTGGTAGATGGTTGGTCTAGTATGTATAAGACCTCAAGTAGCACAAGAATAAAAAGATAGTAATTTGAACAAACGAACTAAATAAATAAAATGGTTGACTCAAAGAACTTTTAGTCCAACTATAACTTGTATTAGGCAATGTATAAGGACCTTTCCCGTATTACCCTAAAATGGTTCTGTGGGGGGGGGGGGAGTGATTTTATTATTTATCCATTGACGCAGATACAGTGTAAATTCCCAATCCTGCATTTTTAAATAATACAAACATACCATTGAAAGTTGAGCCTTTCTCTTGGATTTTATTGTTTGGGCCCATACTATGTTTATACTGTTTAATTCCTAATGTAAAAGTAAATTATATTTTCCCTTAAAATGCATCCCCCAATTTATAATATGTCATAGTTCTGGTAATTGTGATGAGTTTTCTTTTTCTCTTATATACTATAGCAGCAATCCTATCACAGATGTAAACAATTTATTCTTCTTTTCCAAGAGAGAGTCGGAGCCCTTAAAGAAACAGTTGTACTGAAAACAGTAATTGTGAACATGACAAACTTAAACGCTTAGAAGTGAATTATGAAATGTGCCTACATGAATTTGACAATAGTGGGCATTTGTTTTACATAATACATATTAATTCAGATGTTACCTTCTGCTGTGAGTTTGGCAGTCTCTTGTGATTATTGGCATTTTTCATGTTTATATTAAGATTTTATTTGGAAAGCAGGAGAGGGTGAGGGAAATTTGTGAAATACCTGTGTAATTGATTTGAAACATATAAAAGAAATGCTATTCATTTTTCTTATGCCTTTTGAAACATTCCACAGATTGAAAAATACTGAGCTGCTGACTTGTTTTTCCATGACAGCTACACACACAATTTTATTCAAGAAATATTAATTTGCTTACCATTTGATGTTAAACTACCATGTTCATCTTTGTTTCTTGCAATGCAGGCCTATCACATGTTATTCTAGAAAATTCTTTATTCAATAAAGTAGTAAGAGCACGGTCCATGCGTATTCCTTCTCTGATAACTTCTGACCGGTCTTTTGAACTCTTCACTGGTGCATCTTCATTTAAGCACACTAAACTGGTTATAGTGGCTCATGGAAGCCAAGACAATTGCAGTGGACTAGAGTGTGAGACACTCCCCATTTCCTGCCCATGAAGCAGAGTCCAGTGCAATCACAGTTTGTGAAATTCAGGTGGGATGACTCTGCGACATGATTCTAGAATCAGCATCCTTCATTTCATGTACTAGAATCATGGGGAGATCCATGACCTCCAGATATGCAAAAAGAATATAGTTGGGTTTTTTTCCCTTCCCCTTTAAGGGATGTATTCTCATCATTAAGTGTCTTCCCATCCCAGGGAACCGAGGGAAATGGAGAACACAAGAACAGATCATCAAACCTGTAGTTTCTAAAGTCAGGTTCTGACCATTGCCACAGTCTCATTTGGAAAATCTAGTCCCTTAGTTAAATGATGAGTGTCAGGTTTTTTTTTAGAAGTGGCTTATGAAGATTAATCAGTTATTTAGTAAGGGGGCCTGTTCCTGCTTCATTCATTTTCACATGACCCTGAACTTCTGATCCTCAAGCCTTTACCTCCTTAGTGCTGGAATTACAAGAGTGTGCCCCCGTGCCTGGTTTATATAGGGCTGCAGATTGGGCCCATGGCTTTGTGCATGTCAAGCAAGTACTCTGTCACTGAGCTATACCCCCAACTTTTACAGTTTACATTTTGCCTGTTTGTGTTTTTAAAACAGGATCTCTTATAACCCATGCTGGTCTTGAGCTCAATATATAGCCAAGGGTGACTTTGAATTTCTGGTTTTTATTTCTGCTTCTACCTCCCGTCTACTAGAATTACAATGCACACCATTATACCTCTTAACTTTTGAGGAATAATTTCATAGGTAGAAAGTTGACATTGACACAATCCATTAACCTTCAGTTTCACCAATTTTATATACACTCATTGTGTTTAGTTATATATAACTTTATAATTTGTGTAGAGTTTTGTGTCCACTATATTCAAAATACACAGTAGTTTTGGCAATAATACCTTTTGATAGTCCTGGCCACATTTTTTCCTTATCCCTGACCCTAGGTAACTCCTAATCTTCACTTAACCCTGTTTAGTTTTGTTATTTCAAGGATGCTATTCAAACAAATTATATAGGCCATAACACATTTTAAATTGGGTGGGGTTTTTTTTGCTGTTCTTTGTACTATCTGTGGTATGTATGTATAGAGGTGTGCCTGCCTGTGCAACCACATGTGGAGGCCAGAGATTGATACCAGCTGGGGAACCTGGGAGGAATGAGGCTATCCTTTCTGGGCCAGAACTAGAAGTGTGTGTGTGTGTGTGTGTGTGTGTGTGTGTGTGTGTGTGTGTGTGTGTGTGTGTGTGTGTGTGTGTGACTGTGTCTGTGTGTTATAATAAAGATCCCCAAATAAAGTCTATAAGAAACACTTTAAAAAATATTTTTGAAGCAGGGTCTTGCTGTAAAACTGTGAGTCTCAGGCTTGCCTTGAATGTACTGTGTAGCACAGAGTGCCTTCAATCTCATAATCTTTTTGCTCCAGCTTCCCAAGTGCTGGAGTTACAGGTGTATGCTAGCATGTCTGGCTATCAGCAATACTTTATATGATAATACTAGTTTATTCTTCAGACTTACTTTTATTAGGCAACTGCAGTGGACCCTTGATTATCGATAGTCCCTTGCTTTGAAATCGCTTGTCGTCTTGTGGAGTTCAGAGACCTGTGAAATAAATTAATTTGTTCCTTGACCTTAGTGAACAACTGTCATTTCCTTCTTTTTTGTTTTTGGGTCACTCTGGTGCTTGAAGTCATGCAGAATTGATTGATTGCTTCAGACAAGGTCTCGCTTGTGTCCTGAGCTGTTATTAAACTCTCAGTCTGCCTTCTCATTTTCCCAAGTGCTAATATTGCAGGCATGCACTGCCACACTCTGCTTACAATTCTTTAGTATTAAAATAAAATTAAGTTTGCACTCCCTGGCTTATGATGTTGTTGAAGCCCTTCCCCTTCTTATTAGCTAGCTGAGTGTTAGACACGCGCCGAGGAGGCTTGTGCCCAGTGACTTATAGTTATCTTGGTCATCATTATGTTTTACTTGGGTTCCCATTAAGCCCTTTGCTGACAGCTGCGGTCTAGCAAACAGAGCATTCCTAGCTTCAGCTTCTCGGGCCATGTGCTTAGAGATCAGATGACCAAAGTACGTCCAGTCAGTAGTCCTTGAGCTCTGCTGTGGCCTACAGGCACACCATGCAAGTGTTATAGTCCAATGGCCTGCCCAGTCCTGGGGCAGCTCTTGACTCTGTTGGATAGGGATGTTCAGTTCCACTACTGTAGTGAGACTCAGCTTACTAATAACAGCAAGGACTGGCAGTCTCCATAAGGCAAAGAGGAGCTAGACCTTAGACGAAGCCCCAGGTCCTCTGCACTCACTTGGGAACCTACTTCTCATGTTTGGGAACGGCTACAAGCAGAGCATTTTAACTTAGGTCAATGCTGAACATTTTTGTCTTTTCATGGAATCCTAATTGTGCTCCCAGGAATATGAGCTGTCATTAGATGCCATTTTCTTTCTTTTTGGTGACTGGGGGAGGGGAGAAGTACATTGTTTTGTTTTTCAAAACAAGGTTTCTTTATGCAAACTTGGCTGTCCTAGAACTAACTGTATAGACTAGACTGGCCTTGAACTCACAGAGATCCACTCGTCTCTGCCTCCTGACTGCTGAGATTAAAGGTGTGCGCCACCACAGGCCTAGACCCAGTTTTCTTTCTTTTTTAACTTGTTTTTTTAATTAAATTTTTAAATTTATTTTATATACCAACCAGTTTTCTCTCCCTCCTCTCCTCTTGTTTCCTCCCCCCACCTCCTTTCTCTCCTCTCCCCCATCCACTCCTCAGAAAGGGAAAGGTCTCCCACGGGAGTCAACAAAGCCTAGCATATCAAATTGAGGCAGGACCAAGATCCTCCTGCTGCAACAAGGCTGAGCAAGGTATCCCACTATAGGGAATAGGTTAAAAAAAAATCCAGCTCATGCACCAGGGATAGACCCTGGTCCCACTGCTAGAGGCCCCACAAACAGGCCAAGCTACACAAATGTCACCCACATGCAGAAGGCCTAGTTCAGTCATATGCAGACTCCCTAGCTGTCAGTATAGAGTCTATGAGCTCCCATGAACTCAGTCAGGTCAGCTGTCTCTGTGGATGTCCCCATCATGATCTTGACCCCCTTGGCTCATACAATCCCTCTTCCCTCTCTTCAACTGGACACCTGCAGCTTGGCCCAGTGCTTGACCTTGGATCTCTGCGTCTGCTTTCTATCAGTTACTGAATGAAGGTCAGTTAGGCTAGTCACCAATCTGATTATAGAAGGCCAGTTCAGGCACCCTCTCCACTGTTGCTAGGAATCTTATCTCTGCTCATCCTTGTGGGTTCCTGGGAGTTTCCCTGGCACCAGGTTTCTCCCTAACTCCATAATGGTTCCATCTATCAAGATGTCTCTTTCATTACTCTCCCTCTCAGTCTCTTCCCCAACTCGACCATCCTGATCCCTCATGTTCCCACTCCCCACCCCTCCCGTTTACCCTCCTCCCCCAGTTTACTCGGGAGATCTCATCTATTTCCCCTTCCCAGGGCCATCCATGTTCCCTAGCTTCTCTAGGACTGTGGATTTTAGACTGATTACCCTTTGCTTTACATCTAAAATCTACTTATGAGTGAATACATACTGTGTTTGTCTCTCGAGGTCTGTTACCTCACTCAGGATGATTTTATCTAGTTTCTTCCATTTGCCTGCAAATTTTACAATATCATTTTTTTCCACCACCGAGTAGTACTCCATTGTGTAAATATACCACATTTTCTTCACCCAGTCTTTGGTTGAGGGGCATCTAGGTTGTTTCCAGGTTCTGACTATCATGAATAATGCTGCTATGAACATAATTGAGCAAGTGTCCTTGTGGTATGTTTGAGCATTCTTTGGGTATATGCCGAAGAGTGGTATTGCTGGGTCTTGAGGTAGGTTGGTTCCCAATTTTCTAAGAAACTGCCGTACTCATTTCTGAAGTGGCTGTACAAGTTTGTATGCCCATCAACAGTGGAGAAGTGTTCTCCTTACTCTACATCCTCCAGCATAAGCTGTCATCAGTGTTTTTGATTTTAGCCATTCTGACAGGTGTAAAGTGGAATCTCACAGTCATTTTGATTTGCATTTCCCTGATGACTAAGAATGTTGAGCAATTCCTTAAATGTCTTTTGGCCTTTTGAGATTCTTCTGTTGAAAATTCTCTGTTTAGATGTGTACCCCATTTTTAATTTGATTATTTTATATTTTGATGTCTAGTTTCCTGAGTTCCTTATATATTTTGGAGATCAGCCCTCTGTCAGATGTGGGGTTGGTGAAGATCTTTTCCCATTCTGTAGGCTGCCATTTTGTCTTATTTACCATGTCTTTTGCCTTACAGAAGCTTTTCAGTTTCAGGAGGTCCCATTTGTTGTTTCTCTCAGTGTCTGTGTTAATAGTGTTATATTTAGGAAGTGGTCTCCTCTGCCAATACCTTCAAGGCTGCTTCCCACTTTTTCTCCTATCGTGTTCAGTGTAACTGGATTTATGTTGAAGTCTTTGATCCTCTGGGATTTGAGTTTTGTGCATGGTGATAGATATGGATCTATTTGCATTCTTCTACATGCTGACATCCAGTTATGACAGCACCATTTGTTGAATATGCTTTCTATTTTCCGTTGTACAATTTTGGCTTCCTTGCCAAAAATCAGGTGTTCATAAGTGTGTGGATTTATGTAAGGGTCTTTGATTCTATTCCATTGAGCAATGTGCCTGTTTTTATGCAAATACCAAGCTGTTTTTATTACTATGGCTATATAGCACTTGAATCACCATCAGGGGTGGTGATGCCTCCAGAAGTTCTTTTATTGTACAGAATTGTTTTAGATATCCT